TCATCTGCTGATTAATAATGTATTATTTGTTCTGCAGTATGTCTCAGATATCAAAGGAAAGCTGCTCCATGGCTGTCAGATTGTTCACTGATGCTGAATAAACTCTGATTCTGGATCCTGTAGCAACGTCTAATCCTGCCTGATCCTGGCACTCTGAATAATACATCATTAAATCTGCTACTGAAGGGGCAACTTTTTATAATTACATAGCTAACTGGGTTGAAAAAATACATGCTCTTTTTTGTTGTCTCCTGTTGATTATATTGTTAATATAACTGAACAAGTCCTGTGTGTGTGTGTGTGTGTGTGTGTGTTTTATTGTTGCTATTATTGCTTTAAATGAATAATGATAAAAGAGACACATTTACACCATGTTCATCCTCACTCTATGTAATGTATTGAAAGTGGTGGGAAAAAAACAGTAAACCAGGATGATCTTCAGGGATGGAGGTAAAAAATGCACAAAAAGTAAATTTTACACATTGCAAACCTTAAAGGAGAACTATGGGGTCAGTGTTTTTCCCCATAGTTCTCCTTAGGGTAACGGGAGGACACAAACTAGTGTCCTCCCATTACCCTAAGCTCAGTATACCGCGAGCTACAGCTCTACCGCGAGCTACATACTGAGACGCCGGAGCGGATCCCGACGGGATCCGCCCAGCTGCGTGAGTGACAGCTGGCTCTGCCTATCTAGAGTCAGAGCCAGCTGTACCCACCCCCTCCCCCGTTCCTTCCGCCAGTCAGCGCTGGCAGATCGGAGCGGGGAGAGGGGAATCCAGCCCCTCCCCCTGGCAGAGAGCCATGACAGGATCGAGAGGCGAGCGAACCCGGTATGTGTTCGCTCACCTCCCGATCTACTGAGCCGACCTGTGACAGTCTCATTGTCACAGGTCGGCTAGAACTATGAGGTGAGTGAAAAGCACTCACCTCATAGTTCTCCTTTAAACAAAGGCATAAAGATCCGTTTTAGTTTTCATTGCATATAATACCAGGACAACTGTAGACATCATAGATACTATACTATACATACTCCTAAATTATGTTCCAATCTAAGTATATTTAAAATTTACCAAAACTATGTAATGGAATGGCCTACCTAAACTTTCTGTTCACTTTGTATCCAATCAGGCCAGCTCTTTCACTAAAACGTTGCTGGTAGATCTAAATGAAATTGTAAAATCACATTTGTACTGCGTATGGTCAAACTGGATGCCTAAGAGGTACTCAACAGATTGAGGGTGACCTTTATGCAGACAGTCTTATAGCATGTAGATATTTTAGTACAGTTTTATTATAAAAATGGTTTTGAGATACTGTATGATTCTCTTGATTGTTCTTCTGCTGCCATTAAAACTGTCCTTTAACACAAAAAACATGAGTGGCGCTTCTCAAACCTGTTGTTCATTTGTGTAAAGTGCCCATTTCATATCAGAAGATCGTGGCATAATCATAGTGTAGTGACTAAGTAATACAATATTTCATTTTTTGCCTATGATGTCCTCCTGACCCTGACATAGCCTATTGCCACCTTCCTAGTCACTATCATTATCTTGGAATTCTGACTCTTACCCACTATCTCTGATGCCTATAGATTTCATCTATGCTCTATAACGAGATCAAGCAACTTCTCTAGAAATTGAAGTCTTATTATTTATCTTTAATTGGCCGAATCACTACTATTAAAAATGTCCATTCTGCCAAAGTTTTGGTACTTGATGTTTCCCATTAGAAAAAAACCCTACATTCTTCTGTGACTGGAGACGTGGAGATAGTAACACATTATTTGACTTTGGAAAAGTTAGTTCAGGATGACTTATTTATCTTTATCAGCAATCCCTGAAGGCCTAACATGTGATATGGTCAGCCTATTAATATCTATTAAAATGTGGCCACATAATGGATAAATAAAAGACACTGGAACAGGGGCATGGTCTATTGACCACACCGTTCTATGGTTATATAAATGTGACCCTACACACTTGCTTTGTCTAGCAATTAACTTTCTTTTCACTCATCCCATTCATAGAGATCTTTAATGAAGGCCTTTCATGTAGAGATCTAATTTACAATTTATACAAAACTCTATTTCTATAGAATACTTTGCCCACCAACCATTCCAACGATTCATTTACTTTATACTCCAAAATATTGACTTTCTAAAGAAGTGCGATAAGTGAAAATGCTTCTCTTCTTTATCTTAATGCTTTATAACATAATTGTTTTGTAAGGTGATGTTAATGTTACAACTTAATTGTTTTATAAGTTAATGTTACAACTTAATGTGTTGTAACTTAATTTCATATGTTTTTGCTCTTCATCTTAAAGGTGTGGGCGGGGCGGGAGCTGCGGCCGGTCTTTACACTTAAAATTCAGTTTATGTACAGCTACCCCGAAAGTAAGACCTAGCGGATTTCTGTAATATAAGACCTACCACCGAACTAGGTCTTATTTTTGCGGTAGGTCTTATATTACAGAAATCCCTGAAGATAGCGCTAGGTCTTACTTTCGGGGTAGGTCTTATATTACAGAAATCCCTGAAGATAGCGCTAGGTCTTACTTTCGGGGTAGGTCTTACTTTCGGGGAAACACGGTAGTACTTCCCCCTCCTCCCTCTACCCTTTTGTTTGCTAGTAGATGGACAGCTGCTGGAGACTGCGCTGTCCCTTGTGATCTTGTACTGTACAGGAAGTTCAGGGAAGCTGAGCTGAGAGAGTTGGAGCCAGCTGTTCAGAAACATGATGACCGTAAGTACTTCGGCAAAACTACTTTGCTGGGCAATGTATATGGGTTTGATCTAGATTCATTATTGAAAAAAAAAAGTTTGAGAGTTTAATACTACTTTAACTATCTAAAATGAAAAACTGAAATAATGGAGAGTGGGGTGTCACATATTGGGGACCTAATCTCCCTAAAATCAACCTAAAGCACGTTGTAAAGCTAACCTATGTTTGCTCTTCTTTCTGCTATCCTACTGTATTACCTTCCAGCTGTTAAGGGGGCACTGAAGAATTTTTTTTTAACCTAGAGATCTATCTGGAACTAATCTGTTTTTTGCCTGATTGCAACTGTTCCTCTAATTGATAGCAGTGTTGAGTGAATTCCACTTTAAGGTGTGCAAATACCGAAAAGGGAAGGGGCTTTTAAGAAATATCATAACTCTCTTAATGTATAAAATTAGAAATGAATTTACTACTGTTCCTCTAATGCTTGAGCCAAGAAAGTATGTATAGTGCATAGATAAATATACATAGCTGATACAAGCATGCATATTTAAGTCCTGGTAAGAAAAAAAAATCATTCTTTGGTTGGTTTTAGGGCTAAGACTACCCTTTGATGTAGCATGTGATTGCCTTTATTGACGTTTCTCACACAGCTCTACCTATGTGTAATTAGATATCCCCGCATCTCTTTGGATGTGTTGGTTTCTAGAGGGTTGAGCTGTACTCTACTGTAGTTGGTAGGTATTGTTGACGTGCATACAAATAAAGGTAGTATGGGTTCATGTAAGATATACAGGTCTCTCCTCCTTTATGCATCATTAAACAGATGACTCTTTGTAATATTTCAAACAGCTGAAAATTAGGATTCTGCTACCAACCAGTCACAATCACGCGGGATACATTTCTTGTGCCTTTGTTCCCAATCTTATTTTAGGCTTATGAAGCAAACACGTGTTCCAAAGGATACCTCAACAACTAAGAGAAAAGTAGGAATGTTTATCTTTTACAGTATAGTGGTACCTCGGTTCACAAACTTAATTCGTTCCACGATTCTGGTCGCAAATCAAATTGGTCGTGAACCAAAACAAACTGCGATCAGACCGCAATTTTGAAAATGAAAAAACATTTCCTACAAAATCTTATAATAAATTGATCATTGCCCAACTTTTTTTGTAAACTATAAAAGACGAGGTCACATTGGGTAAATAGACACCAAACATGTCAAGTCCTAAAATCGCAAAAAAACTACTATACCCAAAAATGGCCATAGGCGACGCTTTGAAAGCTTTCAAAACTCATCAATTTATTTAAAAACCTTTAAAATGCTGTACGTGTACAGCGACCCGCACTAAACAATATTTTACTCTGTCTGTACTCTGCTGGCACATCTCATAGATGTAAACACTTTCTGCCCTAACAAAGGGATAAATATATCTAGGCTTGGGTGATGCATTGAGGGAAATGTATCAAAACTGGAGCAGACAGATTCTGGAACAGTTGCAACCAATCAGCTTCCCTCTTCAGTTTAAGACTCAGTTAAAGACTCATCCCCATAATTCAAGCTGACCTGTGACAATGAAGCTGTCACACGTCGGCTCTATTGATCAGGAAGTCAGCAAAGCACATACCTTCACTCGCTCACTTTCCAATCATCTCCCTGCAGAGAGCCGTGACTGTCAGTCACCACTCCCCACAGGTATTCCCCCTTCCCTCTCCGATCCTCCAGCGCTGAGTGGAGGAACGAACGGTGGAGGATGGGGGCACAGCTGTCTCTGCCTCTAGATAGGCAGAGCCCGCTGTCACTCACGCAGCTGGGTGGATCCAGACAGTATTGTTGGGATCTGTCCCGGCTGCGGCAGTCTCAGCATATCACTGGCAATAGCTCGCTATATACTGAGTTTGGGTCATGGGAGGACGCTAGTATATGTCCTCCCGTGACCCTGAAGAGAACTATGGGGAAAACCACTTACCCCATAATTATTTTTTAAGCTTTGAAAACGAAAGAGAGTTGCTGATTGTTTATTATTGGCAACTGCTCCAGATTCTGTCTCATTCAGTTTTGATAAATTCCCCCCAATGTATGTTAATGCACTTTTCCTCATTTTATCCCTCTAACTGCACTTTGAAACGATTTAGTGGGCAGCACAGTGGCTTATTGGTTAATACTTGCAGCACTGGGTGTCCTGGTTAAAATCCTAGTCAGGAGATTATCTGCATGGAGTTTGCATGTTCTCCCTGTGCTTGCGTTGCTTTGCTCCATGTACTCTGATTCCTTCAGACATGCTGGTAGGTTAATTAGTTCCTGTCTTCATTGGCTGCAGTTTATATACATATGAGACAGGGACCTTAGATTGTAAGCTCCTGGAAGGCAGGGAATGATGTGAATGTGCAGTATATAAAGCACTGCGTAAATTGTGGTTGCTCTATACATACATGTAATAAATATAATAGCTTGCAGTTCTACCTATAATGCTGTTCCAAATAAAAAAAACATAATGAAGAATTTTTAAAAATATTGTTGTAGTTGCTGTGTGAATAGGAACATAACTAACATAGAGGTTCTTCTCAAATACAGTATTACAGTGGAAATAGTTTTCTGTTCTGCGCAGTACCTCCATCCAGCCAGCAGAGGGCACACAAACCATGTCACCAAGTACAGCCATCTATTTGAAGGTAACATCCAATCACAAGGAATGGAACGGCAACCCTGGAAGGACTCCGCCCCGTCCGTTACGTCCCAAGACTACGTCCCGCCCCCCAGTTCTTTATTCCATAGATTGGTTCTATAGCCTGAATTCTATTGTGAAGTTTTGTTACTGGATGAGTCCAAGTTGCCCCTCACCACCCAGCAGCACGGGGTGAAGGTAAGTGTGCCCTGCTGGCCGCCGATCGCTGCTCTTTGTCCTGTGGCTGGGGATGTGGAGGAGCTTGCTGGCCATCAGCACAAAGCATCAGCGCTTCCTAGCTGTCATATCTGTCAGACGGAGCCGGGCGGGTGGTGTTCATCCTCGGATTCCTCCGGCTGGCAGACAGGAGCTGATCGCTCACAAGTTGTGGCAGACAAGACAATAGCAGTACACGCCCAGCACACTACTTCAAAACTTACTGATCTCATATCATGATGATGATGATGATGATGATGATGGTGGTGAGATCAAGGTGCGAGTTACTTCTACACAATGCTGCCATCACATGCAGCACAGCCGCCCCGGGTGATGGATAGCACAGCATGTGACAACAAAATATCCATTATCCTCACACATTCAAAGTGATCAGTGCTGTTATTATTTATTTATTATTAATATGATTTTTAGTTATTATTATTGTTATTATTTGTATAATTATTCTTAATAATAATATTAATAAATAAATAATGATAATAATAATATTAATATCAGCCTCTTCTGTGTCCTGCTGTATTTCTCAGTGATGTGGTGTTCTGATTGTGCAATGTAGCTCTAGGTATGGAGTCTTCCTGCTAACAACCATCACTTAGTTGGCATGCTGTTGCTGTATACCAGTGCTGGGCAACTTTCAGGATATTGGGGGCCTAAAGTGCGGCCCCCTGACATCACCAAAGGGCCACACAATATTCACCTTAATGTAATGCTACAGAAAGCTGTCAAGTCACAGACACTGTAGACATGCTGTAAGGGATTGTAAGAGACTACAGGTTTTCTGGCAAGAGGTTGTCAGGAACTGCTGACATGATACTACATATTGTCAGAGACTACAGGTATACTACAAGAGATGGTCAGAGACTGTAGACATGTGACAAGAGATTGTCAGAAATTACAGGTGTATTACATGAGTTTGTCGGAGACTGCAGACATACTACAAGAGCCAGTCAGAGACTGTAAGCATGCTGCAAACTATAGTCAGAGACTACAGGCTTGCTACACGAGATTGCCAGAGACTGTAGACATGCTATTAGAGATTACCAGAAACCGTAGACATGCTACAAGAGATTGTCAGAGACTACGGGTATGCTACAAGAGATTGTCAGAGACTATGGGTATGCTACAAGAGATTGTCAGAGACTACGGGTATGCTACAAGAGATTATCAGAGACTGTAGACATGCTGCAAGAGATTGTCAGAGACTATGGGTATGCTACAAGAGATTGTCAGAGACTACGGGTATGCTACAAGAGATTGTCAGAGACTACGGGTTTGCTACAAGAGATTGTCAGAGACTACAGGTATGCTACAAGAGATTATCAGAGACTGTAGACATGCTGCAAGAGATTATCAGAGACTATGGGTATGCTACAAGAGATTGTCAGAGACTACGGGTATGCTACAAGAGATTATCAGAGACTGTAGACATGCTGCAAGAGATTGTCAGAGACTATGGGTATGCTACAAGAGATTGTCAGAGACTACGGGTATGCTACAAGAGATTGTCAGAGACTACGGGTTTGCTACAAGAGATTGTCAGAGACTACAGGTATGCTACAAGAGATTGTCACAGACTATGGGTATGCTACAAGAGATTGTCAGAGACTATGGGTATGCTACAAGAGATTGTCAGAGACTACGGGTATGCTACAAGAGATTATCAGAGACTGTAGACATGCTGCAAGAGATTGTCAGAGACTATGGGTATGCTACAAGAGATTGTCAGAGACTACGGGTATGCTACAAGAGATTGTCAGAGACTACGGGTATGCTACAAGAGATTGTCAGAGACTACGGGTTTGCTACAAGAGATTGTCAGAGACTACGGGTATGCTACAAGAGATTGTCAGAGACTACGGGTTTGCTACAAGAGATTGTCAGAGACTACAGGTATGCTACAAGAGATTATCAGAGACTGTAGACATGATGCAAGAGATTATCAGAGACTATGGATATGCTACAAGAGATTGTCAGAGACTATGGGTATGCTACAAGAGATTGTCAAATACTACAGGCATGCTACAAGAGATGGTCAGAGAATACATGCATGCTACAAGAGATGGTCAGAGAATACAGGCATTGGAGTGGTTGTACACTGGGGCCGTCATTCTTTGCACAGCCCCCATGAAATGACTTCTTCTACATGTGACATTTCCTTCAGCGGGATCTGTTATAAAAGATCGAAGGGAGAAAAGGGGAATAGACGGCACGGGAAAAGTCAGATAGTCATCAGTACCCAGTGCCAGAGTACTCACATAGGTAAGGAGAGCACAGAGCGCCCTCTGCAGGGGCCCCGATAAGTGACAGAGGGCCCCATACATCCCCCAGGCTGCGGGTTGGGAACCAGGGGCTGTATACTGTATCTGCAGATGGCAGCCTATAGGAGACATGGAATCCTCACATTAATAGTTGGTGTCCAGCAGTATTCAGTCCATCATGCCAGTCCTGTGGAGCAGTAATACACATGAGCAGGTTTACAGTTGACTTGGTTACCCGGTGTTGCCGTCCTCCACTGATCAGTCCTGGAATATGTCTTTGTAAGGCGGATTGGAATGTGATGTTGTAACATGAACGCTGAGTGACAAGTTGCCAAGAAGTTGTTCTCAGTGAAATGAAAATGTGTCGTTTCATGTTTCTTGATAGTGTGAAGCTCTGATATATGTCACCCTGACTGGTGTTTCCACAACAAGGTCTCTTCATGGCCACCTTTAAAGCGCAACTGAAGCCCAAACCATTTTTTCCAGTTTTGTGGCTCCTCCCGCACTGCAAGGGTTAAGTGCTCACTTTTGTCTAGGTGCTGAAAAAAAGTTATACTCACCCAATCCTCAGAGCTGGCTGGATGCTACTCTGGTCCCTGAAGCCTGTCTCCTCCTCCTCTCCAGCAATGGTATGTCCCTCAGCTTCCTCACATGCTGTATATAGAACGTGATGAGTCGAGGATCTTTAGACTGCTGCAGCGGAGGGGGAGAGAGGCTCCAGGTACCGGTCTAAGAGCCGGCCTGCTGAGGGCCCAGTCACACCATAAATAGTGCGTTCCAGAGTGTTCGGCCTCTGGAACGTACTGGAATGCAACCAGGCCATGTAACTTTGCTTTGGGGCGGGAGGGGATGTGGCAATGTATTGAAGTCTAGATGCCTGTGTTCCGGTCCAGTGCGATCTGCTAAAAATGCTGCATGCACTACTTTTTACAGATCGCACTGGGCCGGAACGCAGGCACTAATGTGCCACGTGTTTGGGTGCCGGCGATTGTACTGCGGGCGGGATGGCTGCGGTGCCATTGACTTCAATGCACCGCCACGCCCCCTCCCACCCCAAAACAAAGTGAGCCAGCTGGGTTGCATTCCAATGCGCTCCAGAGGCCTAACGCTCTGGAACGCACTCTTTATGGTGTGACTGGGCCCTGAGGATCGGGTCAGTATAGCTCTTTTTTTTAGCACCTAGACAAAAATGAGCACTTAACCCTTACAGCCCCACTGCAAGGGTTAAACAGATTTCTGTCCAGAGTCCTGCTTTAATGTTTCTTTGGACAGAGCTGTTACATGCTGGAAAAGGAACTAAACATGCTGTCTCCCTGCACTGGACCTTCTGGTCTTCCACATCAGGACCTACACTATAACTAAAATGTAGGACTCAATCTACCCAACGCCAAAAAGTCTGAAAGCTGAACTCCAGGGTAGGCAGATACGGTCTAAACACAAGAGACCCGTGTATTCCTACTTGCATCTTGGTGTGTTTTCGCATTTCTTCCACATCTGTGCAGTAATCCAATGTGAAACTTTACCTCTGTGCAGGAGCTTCCGGTATTAGGACTAGAGGTGCACCGAAATGGAAATTTTAGAAACATAGTTAACATAACATATCCTCAATTATGTACACACACTCAGCGATCACTTCTCTCTGACAGCCGCCCACACACCCCTCTGCCGGACTGTGATAGGCGGCCGAGCGGTGTGGGAGGAGACGCCGGCCACTCACAGCGCTCGGCCGGCTGTCACTTTCTCTTTTCCCCGCTGGGACATAGAGCAGCGCCCAGCGGGGAGAAAAGGAATCACGGATGCGCCGATGTTTTGGCAGAAAAATTGCACTTTCGGCATTATGCCAAAAGTGCCATTTTCGGCCGATATGTTTTGGCGGCCGATATGTCGGTGCATCCCTAATTAGGACCGGTCACTACTGCTCTCTCCTTCTGCAGGGTGACAGGTGTTGTATCCGCCCCCTCCTGTAGTTTTCTGCAGGCAGCCTGTAGTGGGTGGGGCACACCAGGGCCCTCCTACAGCTCTGACCTCTGTAAAGGTTATGTGCAGCATAGCGATGGCGTCACCACTACAATTACAACATAATATCTGGGTTTGCAAAAGCATTTGGTGCACAAAAAGCGGATTTATACCCTTCGTGGTCATTTAAGAAAATATTTAAACGAATTGTTTTGGGCCATGAGTTCTCCTTTAAGTAAAGTAGGTATGGTCAGCTAACACAGGAAAACTGTACCTTCACAATTCTGTTTTACCTTCTACCATTCAATGTTCCAGCTACTCTGCCTGTTGTGCCATCCTGGCTCTTGGCTTGACTTTATTGGCTTGATTTAGGCCCGACCAGAGTGACAGATTTTCATATTGACAAATCAATTGGTTAAAACTCCTGTGATATTTTCTATGAAGTATGTGCAGTTGATAAAGGTTTTTAAGCTATTTTGAATGCTGATGAAATCCCTTACAATGGGTGCTGCTTCTTGATGTTTAAAGTTTAGTTTCCTGCAGAATCAGCTGGTCCCCTGAGTACTGTCCCTGATATCCTGTTTTAGGGTGACTCCTTTCCATTGCAGGGTCTTATGGAGTCACCCTTGTGTGTGCTAGTAAACTGTGTGTGTCTCCTTAAACACAGCAGGGCAAGGCACTCCCCTCCCTTCTGCTATAATCTTGTACTGGACAAGAAGTTCAGGGATGTGGAGCTGAGAGAGTTGGAGC